GTCACTATTCCAACAAAACATAACTTGAGGATCTAAGGAACCAATTCTTCACATCCAAGCATTGGAATGGGAGATGTTCACTCTGGTAGCCTGGGCTGTTTAATTAATATAAATTAATTAAGGCTTCTTGAGTTTCACAAGGGTGGGGCTGAGAGATTTCACAATTTAATTCTCTTTCAATCTCTTCAAATACAAATATCACTCCTTTCTCCTTCTTCCCCTCCACCCCCTTCTCCCCCACCCCCACCCCTGGCAATTTCTGGTTCTTCTAGGTCTGGCACCTCCCAGTGGTCAGAGCAACTCCCAACTCTACCTTTGCCTGACCCAGGGTGATCGATCTGTCATCATTTCAATCCAATTTGATTCCATAGAAATTGATTAAACACCTGTTATGGAAAACCCGATGTGAGGCCTGGAGGATATTTCAATATGCCATTGGATCTAGCAGTCAGTCAGTTAATAAGCCATCATGAAGTGCCTACTAGGTGAAAAAAGACAGTCCCTGCTCTCAAGGAGTTTGAGGTGTAGGGAGAGAGAGAGACAACATGCAAACCACTGTGAGATCTCATCCCACCAAGAAGATCACAAGCCACCCATTATCCTGCCATTCCCGTGAGACCCCCTTCCCTGTCTACTAGAGAGTTCTCCTGAGGGAGTTTACCCAAAGCTTTGGGGACTTTCCTCAAGTTCTTGTGGATAAATATGGAGCAGGAATAGGTATAGGGATGCTGTCCATGAACTATCCCCCAATCTCAACACATGATCAGCCCTTCTTTTCCAATCAGACGTTTCTCTGATGACATCCTTTACTCTGCTTCTCCTTTGAAATTTTTAGTCTATAAGATGTTGCTGTCTACTGGCATAATGGATGGAGTGCTGGGCATGGTGGCAGGAAGATCTGAGTTCAAATCTGGCCTCAGACACTAGCTGTTTGCCCCTATCACTTAACTTTGTCACTTAATTTCTGTCTGCCTCAGTTTCCTCAGTTATGGAATGGAGATAATAATAGTACCTATCTCCCAGGATTGTTGTGAGAATTGTTGAATGCAGCTCATCTTGCCTGATCCCAGGGCTTCAAATTGCCTAAGAGTGATGGAAACCAGTTAAAAGAGAAGTACTGAAACCAGAAAAAAAAAAAAAGAAAGAAAAAAGAAGAGTAAGGAAAAAAAGAGAGTCCCAGTTCTGACCAGATGTTAGACTGCAGAGTTTCCCCCAGCTTTCTCTGCGGACTTTTGGTTGTTATGCAAAACAACTTTGGTAACAGCTTCTTGAGACTGTGTCTCCCACAAAACTCCCTCCTTGTTGCTTCGAGGTACCCTCAGATTACGATTCCCTTGTTTTGGTTAAAAGACCCTAGTTTTTGCTGTTTTGGCAGTCTTCTTTATTTTAGGTTGATAGGATCAAATGAGATAATATTTATAAAGTGCTTAACACATTACCTAGTAAATAATAAGTGCTTAATTAATCCTTTCCTTCCCAGTTTTGCCCCTTCCTTGTCCTTTGGGTAGTTCCCAACTTCCATGCTCCAGAGACTTTGGTGTTCTTTTTTTTTTTTTTTTTTTTGTCTAGGCAATGGGGTTAAATGACTTGCCCAGGGTCACACAGCTAGTAAGTGTTATGTGTCTGAAGCTGGATTTGAACGCAGGTCTTCCTGAATCCAGGGTTGGTGCTCTATTCACTGCACCACCTAGCTGCCTCCAGACTTTGGTGTTCTATACAGTTATCTAGCATCCCTTCAGGAATATCGGTGTTAAAAAGATAGGCCTTTGTTTCATCAAAAACATTAAAAGAACTCTGAATTTTCCCCAAATCTATCCAGCCTGCTCTCTTCTTTCCTTTTAATTCTGGGCCCTGCTTATTGTCCATTTATAGTATCTGTCCCAGAGAGTGTGGATATAATAGTCTAGACAGTAAGTATCCTTCATCCACTTGGTTTTTCCTATATGGATAGTTAGGCTAAACTATTTTGAGTGATTATAAACTCATTTAATGCTCTGTAATACACCTGTACTTGCTACAGTCATCACCATCATAGGTAACATTTACATAGTACTTTAATGTTTGCAAAAAACTTTACAAATATGATTTTATTTGATTCTCACAACAATCTTAGGAGATAGCTGCTAGATGAGGAAACCAAGGCAGACAGAGGTTATGTAGTTTGTGAGTCTGAAGTAAAATTTGAACTCAGATCTTCCTGACTCCACTATACCTCATAGAGATCTATCAGCTACTGAGTAAGTGTACCTGGAAGATCTCACCATCCATAGAGATTCCCTCTGATTCAAATGTGTCAGATGGGATGGATCTCCATCACAATAGCAGCAAACACCATTGGTGAGTACCTCTTCATTTTACAAAAAGTTTGATTACAGTGTCATCAGAGTTTTCTATATTATATTTTCCAAAGATGAAAAAAGACACACTTTTCCCTTAAAAAAAAAAGCTAGAAAAAGCTGAACAAAAGAGAACAATATTGCTGGCTGGAAGCCAGACATGGAAGTCCTTGTAAATTCGTCCACAGAGGGATAAAGACAAAAAATGAAGAGGGATGATTGTCCTCCCTCTCACCTCTCATAGTATTTTGTACCTCCCTGTACTTTTCATACAGTGTTCCATTTGTCAGAGAGTGCTTTAGAGGTCACAGAACTAGGGTTCGAATCTGGTCTCAGACACTGCTCAGCTCTTTGATCATGGCTCAGTTCTTTACCCTTTCTAAACCCGCTTCATTATCTGCAAAGTGAGAATAAGCCCTACCTCGTGAGGTTGTGTTGAGAGAAGCCTTTGTAAGCCTTAAAATGCCAAAGTGAACTTACATTGGATCTGTGTCTTCTCCTTGAAGGTAGAAGGTAGGCCTATATATCTCCTCCAAGGCCTGGCATAGAACAGAGAAGGTACTTGTGCATGTTCAGTCCTGTCTGACTCTTTGTGACCCTGTGGACCATACTGTCCACGAGGTTTTCTTGGCAAACATACTGGAGTAGTTTAGCCATTTCCTCCTTCAGTGGATTAAGGCAAACAGAGGTGAAGTGACTTGCCCAGGATCACACAGCGAGTAAATGTCTGAGGTCAAATTTGAATTCAGGTCTTTCTGACTCCAGGCCCAGAACTCTAATCATGAGCCACCTAGCTGCCTCCTTAGGTACTTACAGTATCATAAAACTGGGAGGAACCTTAGATATGATCTTATCCAAACACCTCATGCTACAGATGAGAAAACAGGGAGTTTAATTTTTTTCTGTTTTTTTTTAAATTAAATTTTATTTTTTCAATTAGCAAAAATCCATCTTCTTCTCTCCTTTCCACCCCCCCCCCCCAATTGAGAACTGAAGGAAAACAAAACTCCTGTTATAAACATGTATAGTCAAGCAAAATAAATTTCTGAATTAGGGCTGGAGCATTTCAGTGACTTTACCTACAGTCACAAAGGGGACAGGGACAGGTAATGGAATGCAGGATCTCTGATTCTCCAACTGGTGACCGGCCCACCGTGCCAATGAATGTTTGGTGACTTGATTTGGAACAAAGTACTGTGTAATCTTATTCATTCATTACTTAATTCAGCCAATGCTTATCTAGGACCTGCTTATGTATAGGCCACAGTTCAAGGAGGATATCCAGCTTGTCCTCAAGTACTTTCCTGACAGTTTAATAGAACTCAGAGTTGGAAGGGGCCTTAAAGGACATCGAGTTCAAACATCTTGACCACATAGTCTCTGTGAGATTTTAAGTTTTAATAGTCCCAAACTGCACTAAGACTTTTGGGACATCCTCTAGAGAAGAATAAGGCACACAAATAACTATAATAGGAAATGCAATGCAATTAAGGAAAACAGTCTGGTTCAGATAGATAAAGCATTTATTAAGCCCTTATTTTGTGCCAGGCACTGTGCTATATGTTTAGTGGAAAGAGCGATGGACTCGGAAGTCAGGAGACCATGGTTAAAATTATGACTGACCCTGTCACTTAACTTCATTCCTAAAGTAATTAAATTCATACCGGCCTTACAGTGTAGTTCATTGTGAGGAAGGGGCGTAGTAAATTTTAAAGTTTCACTGAAATGTGAGTTATTGATATTTCAAAGTGCTATGAGCTAGTCTTTATGGGCATACATTTATATATTACAGGAGCGATGGATACACACATAAATATACATACATGCACGCAGATTCTTTAATAAGATGCCCCGCTGTTCAGCTCGAGGTTAAACTGAGCCTCCCTTATCAGTCTCGCCGAGTAGGCGTTCCAACTGCTCAAGGACTCCTCCACTCCGCCCCCAGCTAGGCCCGCTCCTCCTCCCGGCCCCCTAGTCCCTCCCCGGGCGGCACCCCCCCCCCCCCCCCCCCCGCTCCAGGGCTGCCCGGCTCGGCCCCGCCCTCGCCCTCCCCAGTCCCCCCCGGCTGTCCTCAGCGCGCCCGCTGGGCTCCGCCGGGCGGGGCCAGTGAGTCCGGGGCCCGGGGGTGGGGGAGTGGGGGGCGGAGCCAGGCCGGGCCACTCCCGGAGCGGGAGTGACGCTGGTCCGAAGCCAGTCCCCGCCGGGCCCCGCCCCGGCCCGCCCCTCCCCTCTCCTGTCCTGTCTTCCCGCCCCCTCCCCTGCGCTCCCCGTGCCGTGGAACGCTCAGCCTGGTGGCTACATCGCTAGTTCCATTGAGAAAATAGAAGCGGAGCGGCGGCGAGCGGCCGGAGCCGGGGTTCTCTCAGCCCGCCGCAAGCTCAGCGCACGCCAGTCCGAGCCGCCGCCGCCTGCTAGCCCGCCTGGCTTGCCCGTCCGCCCGGCCGCAGCCACAGCTCGCCCTGCTCCGCCGAGCCAGGCAGGGGGGGGCATCCCCCCCTCGCCTCCCGCCTCCCGCGGCGCTCTGCGGCTCCGCAGCCACCGGGCCGAGATTGGGGGGCGGGGGGAGGGGGGCGGGGGCGCCGCCATCCGGGGCCGGCGGCGAGGGAGCTCCCCGGGCGCAGGGAGTGCGCGGCGGGCATGAGAGGCTGCGGCCGCCGCCTGCGCCCCTGGAGCCCGTCCCCGACCCGCGGCCGGCCGAGCAGTTAGAGGGAGGAAGGGAGCCGATCACTGGAGAGATGTCCAGGAGAAAACAGAGCAACCCCCGGCAGATCAAACGTAAGTGGCAAACTTTGGGCAGGGGTGGCCGCCACCGCGGGAGGAGCAGAAGGAGGAGCCGGGACGGAGAGAGAGGGAGGGGCGGTGGCTAGCCTTGGGGTACCCCCGCCTCCCCCAGCCCGCCGACCTGGACCCGCTTCTCCCCTGCGCCAGCAGCGGACTGTTTCTCTTCTCCCTCCACGGTCTGGAACTTGAACGTCCGCCGCCGCCTCCACTGGGTCTGAGCGCCCCACCCCCAGCAGTCCCCCAATCCTCCTGTTAAATGGGACCATTCGCCCCCCAAGGTAGCACCGCTATGTCCGCGGACCCTACGGGAGGGAGGGGAACCCGACCGAACTAGAGGCAGCTCTGTCTCTCGTGGGATCTCAGTGTCTCCCTGTCAGACAGCTGGCCAGATAAAGTCTGTATTGTCGCTTGGCCCCCCTTCCCCCCCCCGCCGGTACCCCCCCCCCCCCGCCCCCCCCCCCGTGCCGTTTTGGCGTCTCTTACGAGCGTCCTTCACCCTTCACCCAGCCTCTTCCCCAGCTCCTCCCGGCTCCCACTCCCCACAGTCACCCCTTTGGTAATCAGTCTCTGTTGCCGCCTCCTGCAGTGTTGGCTGTTTGCAGTGACATGTAATCTAATCTCCGTAGGGCAGATCTGAAATGTATATACGTGAGCTGCCGCTTCTACTGTATGGTCCGAAGAGGCGGGAGGCGGAGTAGGGGCTGAGGGGGGGAGGACGATTATTATTTTTAATTTTACTTGTGACTAGGGGAAGTTTGAACCGTGTTAAGTGGGTTTACTGGTCTCTCCGTTTCCCTCCCTCCTCCCCTAGCTTTCACAGAGATGTTTCAGCCAGATAAGGCAGCCTCTGATCTGGGTGGAGATAAAGTTTAAAATATTCCATTCTGCAAGTCCCATCCTGATAAGATCACTCAGTCGGGACGGGCTGAAATTGTGATCTTATCTGCCCAGTTTGACTCTCACAGTCTTTGTATTAAGAAAGAATGAGAGAATGAGAGAGAGAGAGAGAGAGAGAATATGAGAGATCATGATTATCTAGGCGTTTAAAAAAAAAAGCCATGCAGTCAATGGAGATGTCTACTTGGGGATTTTGTAAGATATTTGGCTACTTTTAATTTTTCTTCTGGAAACCTTGTAACCTCAGCTGCTGGGTCGCCCTCAACCTGCCATTCTTGTTGGCTTTTGAAAGCTAGAAGGAGAGACGGGTAAACCCTGATAAAGTATCTTGATAAAATCCAGACCGAGACCACCAGGCATTGCTTTATATGTATTTCAGCTCCTCCCCCCCTCATCTACCGTCCACCGCCTCCCTGTTCAAGCCCTCTCTTGCTGATAGCGTTGCCCTGGGTTGTCATTCTCCTAGGGAACCGAGCTGATCTAGCCGGGAGAATCTGATTTCAGGTCTAGCAGAGATGAAAGAGATTACTGTTGTATATTCAGGGTGGGGAGGCGGGGGGGGGATTCTATGAAACTGCTGGAACTTTTCCACTAATAGGAGTTACCTGCTTCTGTTTCTTAGCCCTCCCCCCCCACAGTCCTCCCTCCCACCCCCAACCCCTGTAGTAGATCTAAGTTGTGGATAACGCTCAGATGGAGGGATAGTTTGAACACGCCCCCGTAGAACAAAAGTTGCTTTTATCAGCCTAGAGAAATAATTGCCATCTTGAGTGGCATCTACCTGCCAGCCTGACTGGGCGATGGCTCAGCTGAGAAGCCTTGATTCAGTCTAGAGGGGAGAGATGGGAATACTTAGTTCTCCCTTCACCCCCCCCCAATTTTTTTTTAAGACCCAGGATTGGGAGTTCTGCTCCCCTCTGTTCGGGAGATAAGTAAAGTGGGCGACCAGAAGTGGGCTGCCATCAGAGCCCCCTTTCGATGTCCCTTTAGACAGGCCATTCCAGCCGAATTAGCAGAAGTTAGTTCTGATGCTGCAGCTGGTCGGGTCGGTGGCTTTGTACCCAACCAAGATGCTGCTCCCTGCCTAGGCAACAATGCTGATCTTTTTCTCGATAAAGTCTGTTTGAGGCTAGTGCACGCTCACTGTGTGTGCATGAGTGTGTGACAGGAAGCCGGCATGCTCACAATCGGTCTGGCTTTCCACTGCCCTGGTACCCACCCTAACAATAACTTATTAACGTGGTCTTTGGGGTTAATAATGGTGCTGAGCGCCGAGGACTGCTGGGCTGGGTGGGTAAGTGTCGGGAGGTCTCTGCGGGAACCGCTGTTAAGCATCTGTTTCCCTGCCTCTCCCCTTCACCCCTGGGAGATGTCTGCCGCTTTAATGCTTAATAAGGAGTAAAAGGTGATCGCAAGATGGATTGCGATGCCGGCCGGCCGGGGCAGTCTGCTGCATGTTAGTGGGAAAGTCGAGCAGCTGGGGAGCTCAGCTCCATCGCCGGCCCCTCGGCTTTCTGCAGAGATGGCAAGGAGGAGATAAGCTGGGAACCCCATTGATCGCCTAGAGATGCTGATCGCCCAAACTGAACAGCCCCAAACCGGCCTGGACCCTTTCCATTCTGTCAGCGAGAAAACAGTCATTAGGGGCTGGCAGGGTGTGCAGAGATGACTTGTTAGCGCAATCATACCCCTTCCACCCCCACCCCTTTGCCACCCTCTCCCCAAGGAGAAGGGAGGACTCCTGGATCCAGGTTCTGGTAATCCTGCTCCTATGATGTGCAAACCCGACCTGTTTACAGCAAGTATACTTATATCATGTCAACTGGAGTATTAAAAACCTTCCACAGATTCATATCTGTTCTCTTCTGTTTTTTTTTTTCTTCTCTGTGTGCCTCTGTTCTTGCCCCTCTCTTTTTTTTTTTCAACTTGATGAGAATTGCAGATAGACTCAGAAGGGAGATCTCAGGTTAGAAGGTGATTGCCGGAATTGATAAGGCAGAGAGAGACAGAGAAAGAGAGAGACTGTGACAGAGAGACATTGGACTATATTCAGTATATAAAATTCTGGTTAATTTTTTTCTTCTGACCAGCACCAGGCCAGGCCAGATCCACTTGGGATGAGGAGCCCAATGTCCTTGTCCTCCTTCTGTCCCAGGGTTCCCAGTTGTCATCAGTGTACCACATTGCGGCCTGGTACAGAATGTATGGGAGGGGACAGAAGGGTAGGGGGTTCTTCCCTCACCCCTACCCCCCTATCTGTACCCCAGGCCTTTGTGTGTCTGTTTATTTAAGTTGGTTCTGGCTTCAAGTTCGATTGTGGACTGAGTTAAGATGGATAAGGCGATTGTGACTAGGTGGTGATGGAATGGCTAACAATTTCTGGCCCTTCCTGTATTTCAAAAGCAATCTCTTGGCTAGATCTCTCCTTCTTCCCCCCCCACCCCAGTTCCCACCCCCTTAGTGGGTTTGGTCCCTTGCTGCTCCTTAGATTGTAGAAAACTGATAAGTAAATGTGGCTCATTTGCTTTGTGGTAAAGGCTACATGTCCCTCCCTTTGCCCCCTCTTCCTCATGCCCCGCCCCCCCTCAAAGCCTTAGGAACACCCCCCCCCCCCCATGCAGCTGCCTCTTTCTCTCTTTTGTTCTGCTCTGAGATAGATGTGCCCAGCAGATAAGCAAGGGAACCGATCACAGCCTCGATAGCCTATTCTGTTTATTAACTTCAAACATGGGAGCTGGGGGCCCACACAAAGTGAGAAAGCTTCAAGCAGCTGTGAGCTGGCAGTTTAGAAAGAGTTGGGACTTTCGAGATGGGGGTAACAGATAGGAGGAGACTGATCCCCAACTGATGGGAGCTCATTAGGTACCTGGAATGCCTCTACCCCCCCCTTCATTTAAAAAAAAATGACCATAGAACTGAAGAGTCTCCCAGTAGTTTGAAGACGTTTCTGTCTGCCTGCCTGCCTGCCTGTTTTTCCTTTCGGTTCTAGTTTCAGCTACAGTAGATGTGAATTCCTGATAAGCGCTGGGGCCTGATCTCCAGGCTGATAAAGATTGCCAAGCCAGATAAGAGGTGCTTATCTCTACCCACCAGACTGGAGCAGGATTCGCCTATAATAACAAACAGTGAAAAGCAAAGTCGAGGGGGGTGGGGTAAGGGGGTCCAACAATTTGTTCCATTGCAAATGTGATTAATGCAGGCCTTTTAATTATCTGATTCTGAGTAAGGGGGGGGGAAGGGGAAAAGGAAAAGGGGCTGGTCAGAAAGTAGGCCAGGCTGCCAGGCCGGGGTTTTTTATTTTATTTTATTTTTTTCACCCAAACTTGGCAAAATCCATGTCATTGAAAAGAAACTGGTTCTCTGCCGCTTTCTTTTTAATTAGGTCCAGGTGGTACAAACCCATTAAAATGGAAGAAAGCTGACTTTTCATGATTATTTGCTGAGTGAAGGAAATGTTTGGTGAAAATAACAGCCTCTTTTAAAACAGATCTCCTCTCATTCCTATGAGATGGTGTGAGATAGGGGGAACCGGGGCTCATGAGTCCTCAGCAAGGGGAAGGTAGTTTTCTGTTCTCAGGATTGTTTTGGGGTTTTGGTTTTTTTTTGTTGTTGTTTTTTTTTTTTGAGGGTGAGAGGAGGAGATTGTATTGTTTGATTCACCAAAATTATCTATGCCTAGGTTGGGGTGGGTGCTGCTTGTTACTAAAGTTCAGTCAAAGACAACTGGCCTCCCTCTCCCTGCACCTCCCCCCCATCCCCCAAGGAGTTTTTAATTTCTTGACATTTCTACTGGTTTGGAAAGTAGCCCTGGGAACTCCCACTTTACAGGTTCTACTTGCTGGAATTCTTTGTTTAGTACCACTCTTCTCTCTTTCCCCCTGAATCCCACCCTAGAAAATGATTAAGTCTCTAAGCAGGCAGACATTCCAACTTCAGCCACCATAGGGGTGTCAGTGGAAGAGCCTCTGGATAGAGGAGGCTTGGCTTCTAGTCTCATCCATCCAGCTGGGTGACCAAGGCAAGTCACTTAAAATCTTTTAGTTAAGGGTCTAATGAGGAATTGAAAAAATGGGGATCTTTGAACTTGTACTACTTAT